CCCCAAAACCCCAAAACCCCAAAACCCCAAAACCCCACGTGCTGTGACTTCTGTTGAAAAAAATTATTAGAGTCTAAGTCAAAAGTAATTTTACTTTTATACCGGGATTCATAGTGAATTTGGTGATTTTTAAGAAATTTTTGAAGGGTCTAAAGAACATTTTGAAGAGAATCCTGACTAGAAAATTGGAAGAACAACCTTAGTTGGTTGAAACAAAAGAATCCATGGTGGCTAAGGAAGTAGAGCTAAAGAATAGGTTTTCAAAAATTGAAAGAGGTATACATCAAGATCAGGTTAATTCATCAATTATGATTCGCTCGGAGGAGGGGGAGCAGCAAGCTCTGTTGGAACTGCTGGCTGTACTTCTAAATTAGCCATTTGTTCAGTGACTTCTTCTACATTACCACTGGAGGGAGGAGGTGGGGGAGCAAGACCTTCTGTAGCTGCTATTTCATTTTTTTCTTCTTCAAGAATAGCTTGCTTTGCTGCCTCCCCAAACTCGTCAGCTGGGTATTCATTCCATGGTCCAACATCTGAGAAGTAACAGCCTCCTTCAGTATGTGAGCATGTGCATTCACCTCCTAGAGATTCTGGGACATTTGAAGGGTCTACATATTTAAAAAGCTCTTTTTGAAAGGAAGAGCCATGAATTGAAATCTTTTTCTTTGTCTTTGCATCTAAAAATGGACTAATAATAGCCCAAGCTCCTTTGAATACAAAAGAAGTGTTTACGATGAACATCTTATACATGATCTCAGGATAATTATCTGACCCAATATCTATCGCAAGCTTAATAAAGTTCCTAGACTTTTCTTTAAGTTTTCCCATCGAGAATCCTTTAAGATTCAGGAGAGAAAATGATTGCTCTATCTTCTTCTCAGAAGCTGCTGAGCAAGCTGGAAATCTTACATGAATCAGCTTCTCATATTCCCTCACATAATATACATAGAGTTCTTCTTTACTCACAATCTTCAGAAGGTCATCGATATGGAAATTACAAGGCTGGTCAATATAGAACGGTCTTCCTTCAAGATCAGTACCATGGTACCCATGAGGATAGATCTCCCTGGCTTTTTCAACATTTGGGCACTTGTAGATAACCATTGCTTCATCTGTTCTATGTTCAACTCTCCATTCAAGGAACTTCTTGAACATCACCATTGTTTTCTCAATATCAAACTTCCTGGCTCTAAGGAATCTGAGGAGGTAGTAGTCATCATATCTTGAATCTTCGGTGAGAGACTCCTCAGCGATGATTTTCTTGAACTCTTCTAGTGTTTGTTCCTGCTCCTCGGACATGTCGTCCATGAAGCCTGACTTTTCTTCCTTTTTCGAACTTGAGAACCACCCCATACTTGTTGATATTTAATTAACTGTTAATGTAGCACATTGGGGTTTTGGGGTTTTGGGGTTTTGGGGTTTTGGGG